GTGATCTACATGTTAAGTCAATGCAAACGTGCTAATAGACATAGCTTAACGTGCGCTTCGCGCAAATCGCTCTGAAAGGATCTAGTGGACTCAGACACGGCCCTAAAAGTATCAATGCTGTTTTTCAACCTTCATAAAGCACATAAACAATGTTATTTTGTTCATAAAATTCATGTTAGCCAATTAGCAATGAAGCTAGATTCACCGGGCAGATAGAAGCCCTGCCCATCACGCAAATACACATCTGTCCTGAAGTAAATTTGCCGCGCGAATGAAGCGAGTAAACTCAACTGTTCACACAGCTGTTTATGCGCAAATAGCACAATTTATCTGTGCGTTCCTTATCTGGTGTGAACACAGCATTAGGCATGTTCTATGCATGCTGAACCAACAGGTGGCGATAATGAACCTTTTTACACTAAATTTATACCAAAAATGGAATTAGGTATGTTTCGCAAGTAAATTGCTTGAACAATGTGAAGTACTCAAAACATTAGCCACAAATGTGCAGAGTTTGCCTTATTCGCATCTTCCGTTTTTGGTGCAAACCCAAATCGGACAAATCGAAAAAAAGAGAAGTGGCACACATGCTTAAGTCATGAGGTCAAAACTTGAACACACCGTACCTGCAGTTTTTAAAAAGTCTTCATCCTGGGTTTTCAGAAAGCTGCAGTTTTAGTCACCTGACACTGCGTTTTTGTGTGGACAAACAGCGAAACCACAAAACTGTTTTGAGAATACCAGTGTTCGTGTGGACAGGGTCTCAGTGAATAGTTCATTGTAGTCTCACTCTGACTGGATCATTTGAATCAGTGAGTTGTGAACTAGAGACTTGTTGTGCAAGACTGAGGTGTTGCATGGGAACAAATTCAAATTAAATGTTCAGAGATTATTCTTGATATCTACTAAATGTTCAATCAGGTTTCCTGAATAGAGTCGAGAGGACGTTGTAAAACGTTGGAATGTGGTGAAGTAGGTTTTCTTAAATACAAAGATGCAGATACTGGAAACATGTACTGTAAGGGAAGGTTCACCATCTACTCACATACTAATGGCTCTAAACTTTTATATATTTTTTTCTTTCTTTCTGTGAAACACAAAACCATATATTCCAATGCTATCTCTTGGCAATTTGTAACTTTTATTTGATTTATTGGCCAATTCATATAATCTCATTTGTACAATTAAATACGCTTCTACGATTTGCTCCTCCATCAAAGAGGGTTTGGTGGCACACCTCCTTTTAAAAATCAGACAATTTTGTTCAACCAAATTCAAATCTGTAGGAATTAGACACTAAACTGACAAAACGTAAAATTGTAAAGTTTCCTTGTGAGATCAGGCTGAATATTCTGAAAACAGTTGGGGGGGAAAGCAGCCATTTACATCTAGTACATAACAATGGATGTTAGAGGGTGTTTTTCCAGCATTTTTCTGCAATATATGTTCCTTTGTGTTTAACAGAAGAAACAGGTTTGGAATCAAGTAGTGGACGAGTAAATGAGGACAGCATAGATTGTTTGAACTATCCCATTAAGTAAAACAGTGAAGAAAGAAATCTTCCACCACGATTCGTAAAAAAAAAAAAAGATGTTCATCCTAGCATGTTTATAAATCTAAATGTGATTTGTGTGTGCAGAATGTTGTGATGTGGTATTCACATGTACTGTAGTACTGTTCGATTAAGAAAATACCTTTAGATAAAAACTGAGAGAGAGAAAGGTCAGGGATAAGATACTTTCTGTTGGCCTCGTTGTGCTGGGAGTCTGACGCTGTCTGAACAAAAGGCCCATTGGCTGGCTGTAACGGACCTCAACTGCCATGCGGACGCTTTTGTTTGCAGATCAGAGCTGTGGGTAAACCCACTCTGCCCCTGCTCACTTCTATCTGGATCTTTGCAAACATGGAATAATTACCAGCACGATTAATCTGTGCTGATCTCTAATTGTCATCATGGGCCTGGTCCGTATGCGCAGTAATAAATTGTTGAATCACCTGCAGCTCCGGTTTTAATTAAAAATATTACGACAGCAGATGTTTAACTTATTAAAAGATTTAATTTGGCTTTATTTTGTATAATAGCGCTGGTATTCGCACACAATAGCGTTGGTATTCAGACAGGTTGTGGCTGTCAAAACCAGCTTTGTGTCTGACTCAGAGTCTGATGTGTCGCATTTAACACGTGTTTCTACATTCCAAGAATGTAAAGACAGCTGCTTGCTTATTAAGCTGTAGATCAAGTATGTTTTGCTTCTAGAGAAATTATATATGGGGGTGTGTGTGTGTGTGTGTGTGTGTGTGTGTGTGTGTGTGTGTGTGCGTGTGCGTGTGCGTGTGCGTGTGCGTGTGCGTGTGCGTGTGCGTGTGCGTGTGTTTTTGTGACATATCAGGACACAAATCTGTAGAATGACATGGGTATGACACAGGTATTACAAAAAGGAGGTGAAATATGAGGACATTGGTGACGTCCTCATTTCTCAAAATGCTTATAAATCTTACAGAATGAGTTTAATCGGAGAGTAAAGCTGCACACAGTCTCCTGTGATGGTTGGGTTTAGGGCAATATAATATATGGTTTGGACAGTATAAAATGAATGGAAACCTATGTAATGTCCCCACTTTTCACAAAAACAAACGTGCGTGCGTGCGTGTGTTCAGCACAGTTTTCAGAGCTGGTAAACAGAGCAAAGATTGCTTGGATAAACTGTGATTTCTTCTGCATGTGGATATTCTATAAAAGGGACCTATTATGCAAAAATCGTGGATTCGAGGTTTAAACAAAATTATGTGGTAAGAGTGTGTGAACATAATTAGCTTATAATGGTAAACATTTCTTCATTTTATCTTTTATAATCACTTGGGATGTAACGGTATCAGAATTTCACTGTACGGTAATACCTCGGTATGAATGTCACGGTACGGTATTTATTGAATCATTTACAGGAAAAAACAAAACTTATGAAAATACTCCAAAAAAGTGCCAAAAGTGTCAATGACATACAAATTATGCGCGCGACAACACAGCTGATAAGAACTCACGCGACAACACCGCTATTCAGTACGCGCGCGGCGATAACACCCGCTTTAGAGTTTTTCAGCTCTTTTTCATCCCCGCTTCTAGCAGCACACTCCATTTCCGCATTACTGGATCTGTAGCGACAACAGACCGCAAGGGATGATGGTCAAGCATGGGCTGATGGGAATTGTAGTTTTCGCTACCTCCCGTTCGCTTCATTCGCCTGAGCAAATTTTCTCAGAAGACCTATAGTTTTACCGAGTCATGCGACTTCGGTAATATCGAAAAAAATTAATATTGCGATATGACGGTATTTACAATACCGTTACATCCCTAATAATCACACTTTATAAAAACTGCAGAAACACTTTGAAATTCTCCCTTTGTACGTGTCATCAGAAAGGAAAAGCTCCGCCCATTAGTGATGATCTCTTCTTCATTAGCATCTTGTTGTGGAATCTGCCACTATGCTGACATATATGCATTTGTAACTCCGCCCTCCTATGAAAAGAGGGCTGGGACTGGGAGCACAATCTCATTTAAATTTAAAGCGGCAGTCACCAAAATGGCACTATTTGGACTAAAACCTAAAAGGGGCCGTTTTAAAGAGTTATGATACATTAGTTGTGGGTTATTTTGAGATGAATCTTCACATACACACTCTATAACATCAGAGACTTATTTTACATCTTGTTTGCATAAGCATTTTAAGATCATTCTTTAGCTTTAAGGATAATTTACTGTATAGCTTTGCCATTATTAATAGTTGTAGAATTATCCATTCCATTTAATTGGTACACATGTTGTGTAAAATGCTACTCATGGCAGCTTCAAAATGAATGAAAATTAAAAGTTTTATAATTTAGTGGTTTTTAGAATTTAGTGGTTTTATAATTTAGTGGTTTTTATACAGAAACTTAAAATGCTATAGGTCAATTAAAAATATTCCCCATTTTTGCTTAAAACACACTTACTAATGGATATTTATCTTTGTATTATTGCAAGATTTGACTTAACGGGACAATATGTCAGGTATATCATCATGCTTGCAATGGGGAATTTTTATCCAGTGCTCTTTAGAGTATCAAGAGTATCAGTTGACTATAGCATTGCCATTACTGAATAGTTAAACTCGGGTATACCAGCAAACCTCACACAGTATTACCTTGCCGCCCCAAGGAAACACTCCAGTTAATGGAGACCTAAGTTGTATCCCAAATGACTATGCACTTGTACAATCAAATGTGTTGTGTTGTCCCAAAGAAAAAACGTTGTTGTTGTCGTTGCCGTCGTCTTTGTTGTTGCCATTGTTGTCGTTGTTGTTGTTGTTGTAGTTTGTGTTGTTTTTACTGGAAATGCAAACAGTTTCCCTGTCAACATTTAACAGTTGCCAAATTCATTAAATAATTTACTTTAGAGCTGCAACTAATGATTATGATAAATAAAGTAGTTTAACCTTAGCTTCAACAGCTTCTCCCTTTCCGCTATGTAAGTTGCTACCTTTGAGTGCATTGATTCCACACTGCATTGGTTCCACACTTTTTCTAATTTTCCTCCATTCCAGAATTTTTTTTTTTTTCTGGTAAACAGTTACATCATCCAAGCTCACATATTAAAAAAAAATGTAATTGCGTATATAATACTTGCACTATTTATGTATACTACAAATGGTGTCAGATGGTGTCAGTACAAAATTTGGGATTCATCTCTAAAGTGTGTCTTTGCTCTAATAATTCAGCTTCAGCTATATTACGCAACCGTCATTGGGGCATGAGCAAATTGTTCTTAAATGCACGAATGAGATTTTGCAAGTTCAACATGAATTAGCCAATAAATTCAAAAGCTGCTAATTGCCTTGAGATTGTGTTTGATTGATCCATATGTGTGAGTGGTTTTTTTTTTTTTTTTTTTTTTTCTCGGTATTTATAAATGGGAATACAAAGAGTGATATCCAATGTTTTTTTTTTTCTCTCTGTAATTTTAGATGCCGCTGAGGAGTTCTTTGAATATGATGCTGAGGAGTTTCTGGTGTTCCTGACACTTTTGATCACAGAAGGACGGACTCCAGAATGCTCAGTAAAGGGGCGGACGGAGGGCGTTCACTGCCCCCCGGCTCAGTCAGCTATGCCGGTCCTCACCAAACATGAATGCAGTGACAAAATACCACAGGTGGGGTTTTTATTTACTCAATGTGTAGTGTATGTAATGGCCTGTTTCCACTGACTGGTATGGTGCAGTTCAGTCCTCTTTTATGGCAGTTTTCAAAGGGTACCAAAAGGCAGAGATAGATGCGCAGCTATTGGCTTTCAGAGAAACGTCACTAGTGCATACACAAGCCAGGAGAATGAAAACAAAGAATGCACCATTTTTAAATACACAGCCAAGACATTACACCGTAATAAAATATACATATAATAATGAGCCGTGGTCGACCCAAGCTCAAACAAACCCTGTCATCATCTTGATTTTCTGCAGAGTGCTCGTGTACGCATCAATATTTGAAATGACAAACTTGAATTCACAATAATAATGTGTGCATGATTATTGAAGTGTTTCTGACATTCGATCCTTTCAGAAACAGACAAACGCGAGAGTGAAGCGCAAAAAACAAATGAGCAAATGATTCTTTCAGCAACCTAAAACACGAACAAACTGTTTAATTTTTGTCATCACCCGTTTGACTATTATGAACTCAGAATGACAAGATGTTAACGTTACCTGTGCTGGTGAAGAATAAAAATAGGAGGTTTGTTGGCGCCAATAGCCTAGTGGTTAAGTGCACCGACACATAGCACCATGGTGCTCGTGAGGACCTGAGTTTGATTCCCAGATTGAGGTCCTTTGCCGACCCTTCCTCTCTTACTGCTCCCAACTATTTCCTGTCAATTCTCTGCTCTATTATATCCATTAAAGGTTAAAAATCCCTGAAAACAATAAAAATAAAATAAAAGTTTTGTATGTTTTGTCTCATAACCCAAACAAGACCTAAATGTATGCTTTGGGTATTTTTGATTAATTGGTAAGTTTTCGGAGACTGTAAAGCTCTGTATGCTTTCATATACCTTTATTATATATATATATATATATATATATATATATATATATATATATATATATATATATATATATATATATATATATATATACACATATACAGTTAAAGTCAGAATTATTAGCCCCCTTTTGATTTTTTTTTCTTTTTAAATATTTCCCAAATTATGTTTGACAGAGCAAGGAAATTTTCACAGTATGTCTGATAATATCTTTTCTTCTAGAAAAAGTCTTATTTGTTTTATTTTGCCTAGAATAAAAGCAGTTTTGAATTTTTTAAAAACTATTTTTGGGACAGAATTATTTGCCCCTTTAAGCTATTTTTTTTTCGATAGTCTACAGAACAAACCATCATTATAGAATAACTTGCCTAATTACCCTAACCTGCCTAGTTCACCTTATTAACCTAGTTAAGCCTTTAAATGTCACTTTAAGCTGTATAGAAGTGTATTGAAAAATATCAAGTAAAATATTATTTACTGTCAGCATGGCAAAGATAAAATAAATCATTTATTAGAAATAGGTTTTTAAAACTATTATGCTTAGAAATGTCTTGAAACAATCTTCCCTCCTTTAAACATAAATTGGGGCAAAAAAATAAACAAGGACGCTAATAATTCAGGGAGGCTAATAATTCTGACTTCAACTGTATATATATACCTTAAAATCACAGACGTTACAGTACTATTTTGCATTATCATTATTCTGCAGCTATAATCAAATCATGTTCATAGAAAGGTTAGTAATCAACATTTATACACAAGTTGGCCTGTTTACAGTATGTGTATGAAGCATCTGTTTTGTATATAATATGTGAAGGACGCGTATGGTTTTACTTTGACATTTCCTCAAGCGAGAATGATGTTGAATGCAACTTTGTTGTACTTTTGGTACCCTTTGACAGTAAAGACACAAGCCTTATAAAGACAGTTTATAGTGACAGTTTACTCACCATTTACTCTCCCACATGTGGTTCCAACTCTTTGTGAGTTTTTATTCCACTGAACACAAAATAAAAGATGTTTTGAAAAATTTGGGGTAAAATATGTTGGAAATAAAATATACTATGGAAGTCGATGGTTATAGGTTTACAGCTTTTTAAAAATATCTTTCTGTTTATCTAAAGAAAGAAACTCAAGAATGTTTAGAATGAGTATAGGTTCAGCAAATTATTTAACAATTTTTATTTTAGGTTAAACTCCGCTCAAAAATTCAGAGAAGAAAGAAGTAGATGACTAGAGATGCAAACTAAAATGTAACAAAGACAGGAAGATATTGTGCAGTGTCAACTTGAGAATTGAGTGGATACACTTTATTTTTAATTTTGTATCTCTAAGAACTCGTTTCATTATTTTTATGGATTAATTGCAATTTGATGCCGAATTTTCTGAAAAAACGAAAATAAGAATATTATTGCTTTTGTTGGATATATTGGATCTAACAGTAATATCACAACACTGTACGTGGTCATTATTGCTTTGTTTATTCTTACAAATACTTTGAGTATCGAGTATTTATGCGTTTTTAACATATATCACAGCGGTGTCCGGCTATGGGTGGACAAACAGCAGTCTGCATGTAGTAGACAAACAGTTAAAGAGTTTCTTTCTTTTAATGAAAAGAAAAGAAGAGATTTTGGTATAAAAAAAAACTGGAAAACGTATAACCATCAAATTCTATAGCATATTTAATTTCCAACATATTTTATCCAACGTTTTTCTAAATATCTTTTGTTGTGTTCAGTGGAATTAGGAAATGATTAGAACACATGAGCAAGAGCAAATAGTGAGTAAATGTTCATTTTTGGGAGAACTTTCCCTTTTAACGACAACTTAAGGACATAATTTAATGCATCATAACATCTAAAAACTCAATCTTGTCAACTATACCTGTGGACATTTGCTTCTTAGTGTGTTCCAGTGAAAGAAGGTCAAAATAGAGCAGAGCATTACCTGTTACTTCTGAATCATGATGATTTTTAAAATGGATAAATCTTGACAACATTATAAGATGACCTAGAAGCAGTTTAAGACTGCTTCATTATTAATTTTAATTACATTTCACTCCGTGCACTTTAGTAAACAAACTACAAATTATTTCTTTTTTACCGGTACAGTGTCGTCAGGCAAGGAGAACAAGATCAGAAGTCATGCTTCTGTGGCGCAATCACATCCCTATAATGATCGAGGTGATGCTGCTTCCTGATTGTTGCTATAGTGATGAAGGCCCAACCACAGACTGCACAGACCTAAATGACCCAGCAATAAAGCAAGATGCACTCTTACTAGAAAGATGGACTTTACAGCCAGTTCCCAGACAGTAAGACATATTCACTTGCAGTTCTTCGAAAACAATATCTTGCACTGTGGAGTTTTAACAAACTTGTTTTTTGTTGCAGGAGTGGAGATCGATTCATAGAAGAGAAGACCTTGCTGTTGGCGGTGCGCTCCTATGTGTTTTTCTCCCAGCTCAGTGCGTGGCTCAGTGCCTCTCACGGAATTGTCCCAAGAAACATCCTTTACAGGTAACATGCGAAAGATGAAATGGTGCCATAATAAACTATCAATGGCTATGATCTGTAGTGACCTGTTGATTTTTAATGTATCACACTACATAGATATACATATAAATATAAATATAGATACATATAAATATAAATAAAGTTATACCTTACATACATTTTAGGATTCAATTCAGTTAAATTCTGTGGATTAAGAATTCATTTATTTATTATCCCATTCGCTGTGTGTTGCAGAATAAGTGCAGCTGATGAAGAACTGATATGGAACTTCTCACAAACACCCTCTGAACATGCTTTCCCTGTTCCAAATGTGTCACATAGTGTCGCGCTGAAAGTGCGGGTTCAGTCTTTGCCTCGCCAGCCTAGATACCCTGTACTCAAATGTAGCATCCACTCAGGTCTAGCTTTTTTGGGTAAGAGAGCACTAGAGCATGGCGAGGGTGGCAACCAAGCAGGAGACAACCGCAGTTCCCTTCGTCTGCCAAGATCTCCACTTTTCTCCAGGTCTTTACACCCTTCTCCACCTTCCCACAGCCCTCTTAACACCCGTAAGTGTCCCCCTCGTCCCGAGTCCCCTCTTCCACCAGGCAAAGCTGTCAAATGGCTGTACTCTCGGCTAAATGGCGGTATAGACACCCCGCCTTCAGAACCATATAGCTTGTGTACTAATGGGGCAGAGAGCCCAAAGACTTCAAGAACCGAATCACCAATTCGTGGTTTTAAATCACTCTCAATCACAGACCCATTAGTGATCCCAAGCCCCAGCTCCATCTCAGGTGAAACCAACCCCCTTATTGGCTCCTTGCTTCAGGAAAGACAGGAAGTCATTGCTCGAATTGCTCAGCGACTTAATTTCTGCGACCCTACAGCTCCCCATCTCCCTGATGCTCTCTTCACTTCTCAAGAACCCCCAGGACACAAAACCACCTGGAACTCGACACAGGATAAGGAGTGTTTAAAGAAATCCAAAGATTCCCTCTTCTCAGTCCCTCATCCTCAAAATCACAACGGAAACAGTCTAGAAATCCCTGAGAGGAGCAGGTCTTCTCTCTTCGACACCCCCTTGAGCCCTAGAACCAGAACTCGGCTGGATAGAGTTGACCGTGAATCAAAAACTTCCCCAAAACCCGCAACATGTAGGCGCTTGGTACTTAGTGACCAGTCTGCAGAGGGTTCTCTAATTGCAGATGCAGTTCAGGACATCTCCAGGTTGATTCAGGAGCGACTGCAACATTCTTACAGTCTCCTGAATGGCACCTATAAATTAAAGACTTCTCAGAATGAGCAGGTTGGCTCAAATCATGGAGCCCAAACAAATGGCTTTGTATCACTGTCAAGCCATAAGAAGCCTACAAATGCACCCAATGGTGAGGAAAGCACAGATCCTCATATTTCTCATGCAACAAAATGTTGCAGATCTCCTGACTCTAGTCGTAGAAAGCCAGACTGTTCCCCTAGACCACTAAAAGTGGCCAGTTTAAAACTTGAAGACCACAGCGTCACAAAATCACAGCCTTTAACTGCAAGTAATCACCAACACTATGTCAGTAGAGAGTCCTGGACCTCCTTGAAAAACAACTCTAGCCATGCAAGTTCTCCTCAGGAGAATGGACTGACCCAAATTGGATACCATCAGCCCTTCAAGAACCGAGTGGCAATCAGTGAAAAAGAAGCAGAAAAACACGTCCGGGACGGGTCCACTTGTCTTGAGAAAGATGAGAACCAAGAACCCCATTCATCCCTTTCTAGCACACCAGCCAACCTTACTTGCAACATCTCCAGTCTTGCCCCCACAGAGAGCAATCAAACAGTGAGTATATATGCCTCTCCCACCTTATGATTCATGACATGTCTTTAGCTCATATGTTAACACAAGTTTGTCAGAGCACTTAAGGCTGGTTTATACTTCTGCGTCGAGTGATTACCATGTCATCGCTGGTTTATACTTCTGCATGCTGTTTGTGTTGCTCTGCAATAACATTTTCGAAATGCAAGCTGGCATTGGGAGTTTTATGTTCCTCTGTGTTGAGTTTCTTTCCTGGTGTTCTGTTTTTTCTGAACGATACCTTAACGTAGAAGAACCTAAAACTCACTCATTTAGAGGCAGGAACTGGCGGATGTGCAACAACTTTAATCCTAAGGTAAACCTAAAACAAAACTTTCCACCTGAAGCTCCTTCACTAGACTCAACACTTGTAAGCACTCGCTCCAACGGGTTCATGTAGTTCTTGCTCCTGCCCACACTCGTCAGCACTACTAAAGGCTGATTTATACTTCTGCGTCAAACGCCAGCGTATGCTACGGCACTGACGCATAGCCCTTCGCCGTGGCCGTCAGCGTCGCTGACGTGCACCTCTCAAAAAAATGTAACTACACGTTGCAAAAACACGTAGCGCAAGCTCTGTGATTGGTCGGCTTGGTAGCGCTGACGAGTCTGGGTGGGACCGAGAGCAGCGCGAATGGCGCGAGCGATTGTTTACAAGTGTGGAGTCCCGTGAAGGAGCTCCGGATGGAAAGTATTGTTTTGTGTTTACCTCATAGTTAAAGTTGTTGCACGTCCGCCGGTTCCTGCCTCAAAATGACCGAGTTTGAGTCACTTGTACAACCAGGAAGTGTTCGGGAAAAGCTAAACAGAAGTGAAGAAACTCGACACATAAGAACATTTAAACCTCACTGCCCACTAGCGTTTCGGAAGTGTTAATGCAGACCAACAGAGACAGCGCGCAGAAGTATAAATGCACAGCTGCGCGCGTTGCCTGCGCCGTGAGTTACGTAGGTCACTTGACGCAGAAGTATAAACCAGGCTTAAGCCGACCAATTACAGAGCTTGTGTTATGCATCATTGCAACTTGCTGTTGCATTTTTTGAGAGGTGCACATCAGCGTCGGCATCAGCCACAGCAAGGGCTATGCAACTGCGCGGAGGCTGCATCGGAACATACATGTGCTCTTGACGCAGAAGTATAAATTAGTCTTTAGGCTTTGTTTACAACAGGGATGCATCAATACCTTTTTAAAGAACCAATCTGATACTAATTAAATGAAGTGTCGACCAATACATTTAACAATTCATATCACACTTGTCTAGTGAAATTAATGAAAATTAATGAAATTAATGAAAGATAATTGTATAACATAATTGTTTTTAAATATGATAACAAATGTTAGATCAACACAAGATATGTTCATAATCTTTCATTACCTAAAGGTATCCTATTACAGTGTTATTATTGAGTTTACATATTATTATAGGTTCATTTTTATTGAAAAACTACACATTTCTCCACTGGTCATTTATAGTAATAGGAACAAATCATCTTGGAGAGACTTTTGTTGTGTTGACTGTCAAAAATAAAAGCAGAATGCAGTTTGTATTGTGACGTTTACACACCAAAATTCTCTCTAAGATGATTTGTTCATCTTGATCACCATCTTGATTTAAAGTGCCATTTTAGAATCTAAACACTCCTTATATTGGTGTTTTCACTACTTTTCAGAAATAAAAACTTTATCCGTCTACACTATACAAACTAAAATGCCTGAAATGTGACCACTCACGCGTACTAGACATATGTGTATCTTTAAGGCATCTGTAATAGTTTTCTTCCATTTGTGTGATGATCAAAGATCAGGGGCTTGACAGATTGGCAAACGATATCCAATGGACCCTTTTCTTTTTACAATCCAATTTGCTGAAATGATAAAAGGAAAACTCCACAATAGTGTTATCAAGACTTTGAGAAAAAGGAAAAGTAAATTGTGTAAGAAGAGAGAACAACGTCTTTTACTGTTCTGCCCATACACTCTGCATCACAATCGCCTCGCACAACACGGCAATTCAATTTTTGTCATTTGATGCAACGATAATGCAATACATACTTGAATGCATAGAAATGTTCATAAAATACCGCAAAAGCATTAAGGGCGTGTCTGAGTCCACTTCTGCTATTTTAAGGACTGAAAAATACATATGCAAAATGCATAACATGCATTAAGCCAATCAGAGACTCATCTCCTGTTCATTTTAACGGCCCATTCACATAGGGCGTCAGCGTCTACGATTTCCATTCACTTTGAATTGGTGATGTCAAGCGTTGCTCAACTGTATTGTACATTCGTCGTCGCTGCAGAAGTTAGGACTTTCTCAACTTTTCAAGAGCCAACTGAAGCGTCAACTATTCAGATCGATGTATGCTAATACACCAGCTCAGACAGTAGCCGATTGCTGACTTATTTCATTGGCTGACTATGATGATCACATCAGCCCAACTTCAGACACACCCTCTGTCAAGCATTAACGCTGAAGCCCCGCATGAATCGGGCGTAAGAGTCAGTTGCATCGCGCCATGGCGCTTTTGCTATTTACATGACAGACTTTGTAAGTGGAAAAACTGAATGCTTCACTAGTGAGAAAACAGTTAAACAAACCATCTGCAGTGCAGGGATTTGCAATTTAAACAACATGGTGCAAAACGTAAAAATTTGTGCTGCACTGGTCTGAAAATAGCAAGAAATCACGCCAAACACATCTTGCACCTTATTGCGCCAGGTGTATGATAGAGCCATAAATGTTCTAAACTTTTAAAGATTTAAGATGCTATCTTAAAAGTCTTGTAAAAAGGGTCCATATACCAAAAGACCGGTCAGAGAGTGACTGTGGACCACTGCTAAATTTTCAATTGTCTACATTTTAGCCTGTCCACACTGAAACTCGGCCAAACAGTAAATAGTACATAACAAAACGTATGCAGTTTTAAACAAAGATTCACTAGTGTAAACGCCACCCTACATTGCCCTGTTTCCTGTACTATTCAGTGCTGAATTTCTTCTCTTTATTTTTTTAAAAGCAGAGATGCTCCCCCACCCCTTTGAAGTCATGCGGTAACTGGAAGAAACAGACTCGTCACTCCATAGATGGCACCGCAACAAAAGCCTTCCACCCCTGCACAGGCCTACCTCTCCTCTCCAGTCCTGTAAGAGCACAGATCACCACACACACATTCAGATCTTACTCAAAGGGCCCCAAAGCTTTGAGTATGACTCCTAGATGCTCACTTCTGAATCACTTCTTGTTTGTCTCAATTACTGACCACAGAATTCCGTGCTTCCTAGATGGCACGCTAGTGAAATCCTTTTGGCCAGTATTGACTACTAATAATATCTAACTCCATATAACTCATGGTTTTATTAATACTTTTCATTTATGCTCTGTAAATGAATCCATGAGGTTTTGTTGTTTTCAAAGCATACCAATGGCAGTTTGAGTTGTGATTGGTGCTGTATGACTCAGGCACTTGATCGTGTGTGGGAGCTTCGTGTTGTTACTCCAGATGAGTGGTGCTCTTGTTCTCTAGAGATCCACTTAGATGTAATTCTCACGCTTTCTATTGGTTTTCATTAAACGTTATAAACAACTGTTTTGATCAGCATTTTCAAAAGGATGTGGCCAGACTAAAGAAAATTATAATAATTCTTAACCAGTAGAACAGTCTGAATTATTAGCCCCCCTGTATATTGTTTCCCCAATTTCAGTTTAACAGAAAGTTTTTTTTCAACACATTTCTAAACATAATCCTTTTAATAACTAATTTCTAATAACTGAATTCTTTTGTCCTTGCCATGATGACAGTACATAATATTTTATAGATATTTTTCAAGATACTAGTATTCAGCTTAAAGTACAATTTAAAGACCTAACTAGGTTAATTGGTGTAACTAGGCAAGTTAGGGTAATTAGGCAAATAACTGTATAATGATGGTTTGTTATGTAGACAATTAAAAAAAAAAAAAAAAAAAAAATTTTATATATATATATATATATATATATATATATATATATATATATATATATATATATATATATATATATATATATATATATATAGCTTAAAGGGGGCTAATAATTTTGGCCCTAAAATCTCTTTTAAAATTTTAAAAACTGCTTTCATTCTAGCCAAAATAAAACAAATAAAATAAAATATTATAGCAAATACTGTGAAAAAATTCTTCCTCTGTTAAACATAATTTGTGTAGTATTTAAAAAAGAAATTTACAGGAGGGCTAATCATTTTGATCTCAACTGTATGTGTGCTGAGTTCGATTTTGCCATCCTTGGTAATAGAACATTCCTAAAAGTTGATGTAATTAGGTTAGCTTTGAAGCTTAAACAAAATGTTTAACTGTTTATCATTTCCCATGAATTTCATGACTAGTTACTCTTAGGGCCGGAGCAAGCTGAACTGCCGCTCTAGGCAAAGGACAGTCACGCCGCCCTCAACCCTAAAATGAAAACGGGGGGGGGGGGGGGGGGGGGGGGGGGTTCTCTATCCCCAGACAAGGATATAACTAAGGGGCGCGGGTGGTGAGGGTAGTGTCAGGGACGCCGCTCTCTCTATTCTGCCGCTCTAAACCCAGATATAACCGAGTGCGCGGGTGGCAAGGGTAGTTTCAGGGACACTGCCCTCTTTATTCTGTCGCCCTAGGCAGCCGCCTAGGTCGCCTCTATGGACGCACTGGCCCTGGTTACTCTCATGTCATTTCAAACACCCGTGACCTTCATTCATCTTTTTAGATGAAATTTTAGAGCTCTCGGATCCTGCATAGAGAAGCAAGAGTCATAGGACTTTAAAAAATCCAGAAAGCTACAATACTGAAATGTTAAATAAAAGTGTTATTTAGATGTCTTGTGCTTGATATCATTGTCATAATTGAACGACTGAAGACTCATGGACTGTTTTGAGGAAGATTTAGTTTTCTTTTCTGGGTGTCTTGAGACCATTGCTGTCTATGAAGGGTCGGGGAGTTTGTAGATTTTGTCCAAAATATCCTAATTTGTGTCCTCAAAATAAACAGAAAGAAGTTTATTGTGACATGGATGAAGCGTCACTCGAGTTTTTTTATTTAGTTTGTTTGATTGTTTTATTAAAAGTCTATTATTATTATTATTATTGTTATTATTATTATTATGACAGTTAATCATTTATACACTTGCAAATGCAGTACAGTGTCTTGTAACAATATAATTAGCTCTTTATAGAAAGGGCATTGTGGAAGCGGTCAAAGGCCTCCAAACAAAAGATGTAAATGTGTTCATCTGCTTCCTCCTTTCCCCCCCCTCAGGTTCCTCAAAGAAAAAGCCAGACAGGATATTTTGATTTAGACACGTCTCTGATTCATTGCAGAGGTGTACCATGGGCTGCCAATAGGAGGTATGACTCTCTTTTTTCATTTCCTGCTGTAATGCCATTGTTCCATATTTCACTGTGCCATTTCCTTTACTGAGGCTTTCCTACATGCACTGCCATCTGCTGTGCACACACACACACTAGAGTTATCCCTAAAGCTGCAGACTACCCAAAATGGCTGACTGAAGTGTGTATGTGTGTGTGTGTGTTTGCAGGGTTTTGAAAAGATCACAAGACTATGATGAGTCTCAGCATCAGATTCTCAGTGCCAGCGCTCCACCCGCCAACCTCAGCCTTTTGGGTAACTTTGAGGTAGATGAACAGAAAAAACACACACACACACACACACACACACACACACACACACACACACACACACACACACACACATACATACATTTCACTTGGCTTTTTCATTGTGTGTACTAAAATAGTTTTATATTCAGTTAGTTATAAGTACTAAATACATCCTAATGCATATTGAAGGATGTGTGTATTTTCAGATGTTTTAATTTCATTCATTCATTCATTTTCTTTTCGGCTCAGTCCCTTTTTTAATCTGGGGTCGCCACAGAGGAATGAACCGCCAACTTATCCAGCATATGTTTTACGCAGTGGGTGCCCTTCCAGCTGCAACCTATCACTGGGAAACATCTATACACAGTCATTCACACACATACACCATATACAATTTAGCCTACACAAATTCACCTGTACCGCATGTCTTTGGACTTGTGGGGGAAACCGGAGCACCCAGAGGAAACCCATGCAAACATGGGGAGAACATGCAAACTCCACACAGAAATGTCAACTAACCCAGTCGGGGCTCGAACCAGCGACCTTCTTCCTGTGAGGCGATTGTGCTGCCCACTGCGCCATCGTGCTGTTTTAATATTTTACAAATGATGACATAACCAAAATAAGCTTGTCAGAGATTTTGTCCTGTACAGCACACAAATATGTTCTCAATATTCGGGTAAGGATGTTTACCCATGCGTTTACCTTGCTGTTTGTCCAAACTACTTGTTCAAAATGAGCTGAAACAACACAATTCTTGAGTTTTCTTTAATTAATCGTTGGTTTTTTAAATACATCCGCACATACAAATACAGTCTACGCTATACAGTTGGAAATAATGGGAAATATACAAACAAGTTAACAGCATAATGCAGCCAAGCTAGATATGCACCATAGAATATAACAACTCGAGAAATTGGTAATGTAATGCCAAAAAGGTGTCCATAGCTGCCAAAAAATATCAGACTTTTTATGTATCATGGTGTCCACGGGGTCTTAAAAGTATTAATAATTGATAAATAAATGTAGAGAAATTTAAGGCCCTTAAGAAGTACTTAAAAGTCTTAAATACTACAGTGCTCAGCATAACTGAGTACAGCCCATATTGAAAATTAATATTTTATCAATAAAATATATATATATAAATTACAATTTACAAAATTTCAACAATTTTCTACTTCTCTTGATTTTTTTCTTTTTTATTTGTATTTAATATTTTTCTATTTTCCAGTGTAAATTTTAATGTGGAGTAGTGTGGTATGAAGCTGTAATATCGCCCTAACCTACCTAATCCCTAACCCCAACCTTAGAACCATTTAAATACAGTGATAATATGATGAATAGAATAAAAAGACACCGAAAAATTTATTGAAAAATAAAGTGGTGATTAGGCTTTAAAAAGTATGGGAAAAGTCTTAAAAAGGGTCTTAAAAGGTATTAAATTGCACTCTCTGATTCCTCTATATACCCTGTGTATGCCATTGGTGAGTTTCTCAAGTGGAAATAGATTACATACTTGAGACAACCACACTTTAAATGAGGGTACCGGAGGAGATGACGACAACAAAAGTTAACATTTCTTTGCAAGATAAACCAAGATTAAAAACAATTGTTTGGTTTGGGAGTCCAACACATTCTCCACTCCAAAAATATTTTAAAGAGTCCTTGTAGAAAATAATGTATTTTATTCTTGAGTTTTTAGTGGGACACATTAATTGATTTATGTTTAATCTACTTAAATTAACACAAATCATTTGTGTGGAACCCAGTATTTGTTACATTGATTGTTTCATCATATTGTATCAGTTTATGAAACTTCTGTGTTTTTTATATTGGTTCTTATTGTCTGTGTGCTTCTTGTATACTGTCTGTAGATTTATTAATGATTTGAATACGTTTAGTTTTCGTTAATTTTTGTTAACATGTTTTGTAAAACCTTGCTATTTTTTATATCTATATACTGTTAATTTTTATTTAATGATTTGTTTTTAATTTTATTTAAAGAAACATGCTTTATTTATTTAGCTTAAACAATTATGTTTATTTATTTGTACTTATTAATATACATATTTATTCATTTCGATTTTTCTATGTATAAAAAATGTGATTTAGTTTTATGGTTTAATTAAACATCACTAAAAAACAAATACATTAGAAAATGAAAACTGTATTTTCTTGTAAAATATTATTGTCTAATATATTTATTTACAACTCTCAAAAAAAAGTGGTGTACTGTTTCATATTTTTTATTTGTACACCCTATTTTTAAAAAGACTATTTTATCCATTTCTCACTGAATAATATATTAATAATATAGTATATATTCATTATAATACTATATTCATAATATAATATTAAAATATATTTTGGTGCATTTGAACAAAACAGATTTATTAAACAGATATATTTATTAAAACAATATTTTAGTCACTAAACAACTTTAGAAATAGAAAAAATAATTAAACTAAATGCATGCAAAATATTGCATGAAAAATAAAAACCAAAATTAATACATTTTTTGATTCTCTTGATTTTTCCTCTTTTTAACAATTTTATTTAATATTTTTCCTCAACATAAATTTGGGCAACTTATTTTTGGACTGTAAGTTATTTTGTTAGATTAGCTCCATATTTAGCTTCAGCATTGACTAATCTAATGTATATGCACAAATATCAAAGTGTTGAATGTTAAAAATAGACATTACAAATCATAATTGTATGTTATTGGATTGATGGATGGATGTATAGACAGTGTGTATCTGTGTGTTGTTGTGTAGGAGTGTGTTCTGAATTACCGTCTGGAGCCGCTGGGCACTGTTGAGGGTTTTACAGCAGAAGTGGGCGCCAGCGGGACCTTCTGCCCTAGTCACATGACCTTACCTGTGGACGTGTCATTCTACAGTGTCTCTGACGATAACGCACCTTCCCCATACATGGTAATGAGTCATAATTTGTGTACTTCTTATGCTACAACTGGAAAGCTTCTTAAATGCCACCTTATGGAGGTTGCTTAAAGACAGAAATACAACACAACACACACTATTGGTCATTAAGAAGTTTTCAAAGAAGCTTATTCTGCTCACTAAGGCTGCATTTATTAGGTCAAAAATACAATAAAACTGTACAATTGTTAAATAAAATTAGAAATTCAAACAAAATGTGAATAAAACGGTTTATAGAGGTGCTGGAAATCCTTAAAAATGCTTGAATTTTAGTTAGGTAATTGTCAGGGTTTGAAAAGTGCTTAGATTTTTTGGGGAAAATGCTTAAAACTGCTTGATAATGTAATAGTGTAGGTTTTATAAGAAATATATTCACCTAGGGCTGGGCGATTAAATCGATATTGGTATTTTTTTGGCCGAACACCATTGCCAATATCGATAATTAAAGTTTGGTTTGTAGTTTCACTATGAAGCACTATAGTTTTATTAAAATGTGGCTGCTGAGCGCACGCCTTGGAAGCAGTGCCAATAAGCTTAGGGCATCAGTTTATCATTTTAAATAGAGGCACACAAATAGAGACACGCACATGGGAGCAACGCGCACATAGTGTGCAAGCTGAACTTTCCTGAATGCCCTGAGTGCACCGCGATCAATTTACAGTAAGTAGAACTAACAAATCTGCTTCACACTTTGTATGGAATGTACACATTTCAGTAATAACGGCTGATTAATTACCTCAGACAAACACGTGCATTCAAACAACTGCAGCGTTTTTTTTTTTACTTTTCTCCATAAACTTGCATCAGAGCTGCAGCAATGATTTGTCCGTTTTTCATTCTCTGAGAAAACCGTTTTACTGGAAAACAGCGGAATGAACAGCCAACTTATCCAGCATATGTTTTACACAGCGAATGCCCTTCCAGCTGCAACCCAATGCTGTGAAAACATCCATACACACTCATGCACACACATACTGCATGGACAATTTAGTATATTCAATTCACCTATACTGCATATCTAAGCCACCTTGCCGCTATTAATAAGTTCTTTTTTTTATTATTGATTGTTATTATTATAATATTTACTGTATTTTTGCTCATGTAAATACAACCTTGATGATAGACTTAGAATTTAGAATAGACTTTAGAAAAAAAAAAAAACTGCTGTTTCAAAACTTTTGAATGGTAGTGTATATTATTCATTCATTTCCTTCGGCTAAGTCTCTGATTTATCAGGAGTCACCACAGTGGAATGAACCGCCTAGTGTATGTTAAGTATGTAAGTAAACAATAGTGTTATTAACATGAATTAAAATGTTCGTTTTTGATCTTCAGGGTGTCATAAACTTGGAGTCACTCGGTAAAAGGGGATATCGAGTACCTCCTTCAGGAACCATTCAAGTGGTAAGATTCATCAAATTATTTCAAAAACCTACTGAATGTTCTGCTTACAAACTATGTGTCATGTTTATGACACACGTTTTCATATATGAGTAATAACTGCTCAGATGTGTGTGATTACCACCAGACGGCATCATGAGAACAAAGGAGAACGTCAACCATTAAAAACAAATAGAGATGCGCTCTCTAGTGGTGAAGAGGTGGAAATGTTGCACAAAAAAGAAACAGACTTTCCATATTAAAATCGAAACTTGAGCTTGGAATATTTCTTTAAATGGATAGTTAACTCAAAGATAAAAATTGTAATTTTTTTCACCCTAAAGTCTTTCATAATCTTTGTGCATCTTTTTGTTAACATTTTAACTATTAATAACAAACACAATAAAGCAAACCAGACAGTGCCTATGTTGACATTGCTAAAGAGAAGAAAATGATAATAAATAAATAAATATGAAACATGATAAATACTACTACCACCCTTACTAATAATAATAATAATAATAATTTTGTGAAACAAAAAATATAATACATAGATGTATTAATTATAAAATTAAAACAATAATTAATAAATGAATAAATGCATAAATGAAAAATTAATAATAATTAATTAATTAATTAATTAATTAATAATAGTAATTTAGTAAGTTAATAGAAAGACCATAAATAAATAGACAAATAAATTATAAAATTAAAATAAATGAATAAATAAATGAATGAAAATACTAATAATGATAAATAGATGATAGTAATTTAGTCAAATAATAGACCATAAATAAATAGATGAATGAATTATAAAATAATTGAATGAATAAATAAATGAAAATAATAATTAATAAATAGACAAATAAATAAATGAATAAATAAAAAATATATAAATAAATAGACACAATATACACACTGTAAAACCCAACAGTCAATATTATTAAATAAAATGAGTGTAAGTAACTCAATATTGACTGAAAGTTAATTCTACTCATTTGACAAGTTTTGAACTCAGTGTTAAAGGTAATGAGTTAACTTAATACCTCATTACTTCAACTCAAATGGAGTAAGTTCACAGTACTCATATAGATTAGTTTTTAACTCAAATGGTTTGTTTCAATTGGTTTCCTCAAATAGTTTGTGTTGCCTTAACTTACTGTGGTTTACAGTGCAGATAAATGATTGAATTAGAAAGATAGTAAATACTACTACCACCACTAATAATAATAATAATAATAATAATAATAATAATAATAATAAAACTAGTAATAATAATAATAATAATTTAGTAAATGAATAAAATATAATAAATAGATGAATGAATTATAAAATGAAATAAAAAATAATTAAATAAATAAATAAATGAAAATCATAATTAATAAGTAAACTCATAAATAAATAGATAAATGATTAAATTAGGAAGATAATAAATACTACTACCACTAAAAATAATATCTAATAAAATAAATTAATGAATAAAATAATTTTAAAAATTAATTAATTAAAATGATAATAAATAAATAGAAAAATAGATAGATAAATGAATTAGAAAGATAATAATTACTACTACCACTTATAATAATAATAATAATAATAATAATAATAATTATTATTATTATTATTATGTTAATTGATAAAATAATTATAAGTAAATAGATATATGAATTAGAAAAAAAAAAAAAATAAATGAATAAATAAAAAAATAAATGAATAAATATAAATAATAATAATAAATAAAACAAAAAAATAAATATATAGATAGATAAATGAATCAGTTTGAAAAATGATGATGATAAAAATACTAATAATAAAATTAGTAAATTAATAAAAAATGTATAAATAAATTGATGAATTAGAAAATATTTTTAAAAATTAATGAATTCAAATTCAATTATGGGATACAATAACTCAAATTTCTGCTTAAAGATACATCACTACATTTAATAAAAAGTCCAGACCCAAACCCAGGATGTGCATTTGTAACTAATCCAAGTTAACCATATGTTATTTTAGTTCTGGCATCAAATGCTAGAATGTAAAATAGTCGATTGCTAAATTTGTCAAGCAAAAATGTCATTAATAAAATTGTAACAAAATCTGTCCCTCTATTCAATGTCTTCATAAGGAGACTAAAAACAAATCCATATGAATCAAGCAGTTTAAATTCAAAGTCTTCTGCAGAAATATGAGTGCTTTTATATGATGAGCACGTTTCATTTAGGCTTTTATTAACACACACACACATCGAATGAAAGCCTCATGGGTTTAGGTTTTGGCTTAACTAGCCATTTAAAATCTGTGTTTTGCATTAGTCATAAACAAATCACTCTGATTCACTGTTTTAGATGAATAATTTTTGGAGGCTAGTGAAATAAAATAGTTTTTTTTTCCCGCCCACTCAGATTATTAGCATATGTTTTTCATGAAATGCTCACGGTATAGATTAGTGTTTTGGATTCTGTAGCGTTGATGTTCAACGGATGTGTCTTTCCTTGTCTTTGTGTTTCAGACCTTATTTAACCCCAATAAGACGGTGGTGAAGATGTTTGTGGTGATGTACGATCTGAGAGATATGCCTGCCAGCCATCAGACATTCCTGCGGCAGAGAACCTTTTCAGTCCCAGTCAAACGGGAGTTCAACGGACTGAGCAACAAAAAGACGTCCTCACTGGGGCAAGGACGAACCCTCCGCTACCTCGTCCATCTGAGGTCAGTATCACAGCCTATTTTCATTCACATATACCAGTGAGTGTCAGAAATCAAGTGATTGACCTTTATTCTGAATACAAGATTAAAGTCGACATGAAGCGGAAGCTGCGACTATTATTTTTTCCGTATTGTGACCCAGTTCCTAGAGAAACGGAATATTAAATTAGTGAACACTGGGCTTGACTAGGGTTGGGTATCGTTTGGATTCTTTTCCCGATACCGGTGCTAAATCGATACTTTTAAAACAATACCGGTGCCAAAACCGTGCCTGAACCGATACCTTTTAGCCCGAAAATGATGGCAGATGACTCAACAAAAAAATCTTTTTAAAAATCATTTTAATAGAACAATATAATTAAAGTTAAAAGTAAACATCAATTCATATTGTATTGCATTAATACATTTCCTTTGATCATTTGTTGGTTAGCGTGAATCTAAGATTTGCATTATAAAATTACATATACTGTATATCACAAAATACTTAAAACATTATTCGAAGTCATTTGTTTTCAATCATCTCTCTGCATGATAATTAAATAACTTAAACTCAAAATAATCTTCCTAGTTCATTTATTTGACAAGTAACATTGTACTGTTGTAGGAGAACACATTTCTAACATTCAAGTACATCAAGGCACATTGCTGCACCCTTAAACTTTAACAGGCCCACAGTTGAAGTCGATTTATTTTGCCCTCCCATTCATTTAAAATAATGTTTCTGAAAATTGTCACAGTGTTTGCTAAAAATATAATTATTCTGGAGTCATAATAAGTTCTATTTTTTATTGTTTATTTCGTGAATAAAAGCTGTTTTTAATTTAAATAAAAATAAGGTCAGTATTGCATAGCCTCCTTAAGAAATGTTTACTATATATTTTTGATTTACACAACAAATCAGTTACAAAATAATTGGACTAATTATTTCAACTTTTATCGTCAACTGTTAACGGATTAAGTCTAAATTACACTTAAATCTTAATAAAAAAACTATAAAATGCTTAAAGGGACTTTGTCTGAATACAACTGTCTTGCAAACTAACTAGTGAAATGTTCTGCACTGACTGTCAGAATGGGGAAAAGAAAACAGTAGATACCAGAAATGAGTTAGTTAAACTATTATGTTGAAAAATGTGTTGTAAATAAATCATGTGTTGAAGACGGAAATCAAAAATGAATGAAGGCAAAACTAAACGAGTTGAATATGACTTACATGAGCGTGACTGAAAACTACATTTGATCAATGTCTTACATCTATTCTTTGGTACTTGCCGACTGTTTGTAAATTCAAGTCTGCATTTCCTAACGTAAAACTATGTACACTAGATTTCTGATTAAAAATGGTCTCTGAATAGCCGAGGACTTCCTATATTAAAAGTGTTAAAATCGCTATTGAAAACTGAAGTCTAATATCATCAACGGTGGACATTTTGATAGTGTTTCACAACATGAACATGGCTGAAGTTTAATCTTTTTATTACCTGAGTCAATTTGGGCATCAACTGACGAATGCGGGGAACTGATGCACGCAGCACAGTCACAAAGAGAAAGTGCAGCGAAAGCGAGTGCCCGAGGGAGGGAGCACGCGAGAGAGGCATTCCTCTGCTCTGCCTTTGAGCCCTGTGTCATTAAGTTTAACGTTTCCCCCTTACACACAACTTTTGTAAAGACAGTTGCTGTGTCAGAATCCTTGCTTGTAAAATACGCTTTAGAATGCTTAGTTTAAGCAAATTGGATGCACATGATCACGCGTGTAGATCTGAAGAGTGTCGCTTTCGCTCACTTACTTTACTGTATATGTTCATCAAAAATCTCTGCCTATGTGAGAGATTCTTAGGGTGCTTTCACACCTGTGAATCGATTCAGTTGTTCCGAAACAGAGATTACAAATGTTACATTGTTGCTCTTTGCTCTTGGAGCGGTTCGCTTTCACATGGCAAAGTTTCTAATCGGACCAAAAGAGCTGAAACAAGTCACGTGCGAGTAAACTCTCCTTACATTGGTCAGAGTGTCAGGGTTTATTTTGCAGCGTCCCACTCAGCTGTCAGGAGAGGTGGTGGTTTGGTGGTGATTGACAGGGTGCGCGCGCGCGTCGTGTCTGAGGAGAGACGCGGTGGGGAGGGGTGAAAAGGGTGCGCGACGATGCCTATTTGAGGACCGGGAGGGAGACGCGAGATTACCGGGAGATCATCACTCATTTGCGGGAATCCGGAGACTCGCGAAACTTCCCGCCCTACTCATAACTCTCTCTTCATATAGCTGTAAGCCTATTAGATATCCTTAAAACACTGTGATATAACCGTGCTCGGATCAGATCGCTTTCTCACTGCAATCGAACCGCTCCAGGGCTCATTTCAATCGAGCCGAGACCACCTCATTCAAGCGATCTCGGAGCGATTACTTTGGCATAGAACAGAGCGCGATTGAGATACGTTCCGAAACAAAAGTGTAGGTGTAAAAGCACCCTTAATCGAAGTCTTGTCTTGATTTGGGTAAATATTGGAACATTATTGTCCATGTAAACATTCTGATTGTTTATTGTTGAATGGTCAAAGGTCTAGAGTGCACTCTTGTCAACAGGCTAATTGTGGCCTTGACGTGTCTGTTAATCTATTATGTATAGTGATTTTAATTAGCCTCCCAGAATGCCAGAGCTGATTTCTACAAAAATGCTGTATACGTTTAAAGTCTGCAATAGAGCAGGTCTGTTTATTTGGCAGTCATTTTGGAAACACCTCCAGGCATTTCTTCTCTAGTCATGAAAGTACAGTTCTTATCTGCTTGAATGAGGAATTTTGACCAAAAATCTGAAATTTTACACAGAAGAACAGCACATATGATTGAAGGGGGAGTTCAGAAAAACTGAAAATTCTCTCAATTTACTTGTTATCCTGTTTAAGTATCTGTTTTTTTTTTTTCTTCTTCTGAGGAAAACAGAGGAAGATATTTTGAAGAAAGCTGGAAACCATTTACTTCCATACAATTTTATTTTCTTCCTATGGAAGTTGATAGTGACAGGCTTTCTTCTAAATATTTTATTTTGTGTTTAACACTAAAAAGAAACTCCTAAAGGTTTGGAACCATGAAGGGCTGGTAAACATTGAGTAAATTTTCATTTATGCGTGAACCCTCCCTTTAAGCATTATTTTAAAGCAACAAGCCATGTGAATATTTATTGTACATTAAAATGTACAATTTTACTAAGAATTTAAATACTTTAATAATAAAACTGATGGTTATTGCTTCTTAAAATAAGCTTTTTCATTGCTTTAATATTTATAACTTTAATTTATAACTCTTAAAACCAGTCGAAACAGAATAATTGATTAGACTTAGCATCCCATTAGTGCAGAAAAGGTCCCTAGGAAGGGCAGTCTAGACTTTGTCTTGAATTTTTAATGAAAAGAGTCATTAAAAATAATTAGAGTTGTTAATAATTCAATTATTATTTAGAGCACTGCTACAGAAATAGTGTCAAATGTTTGGTTTTCTTCTCTGTACTAATCAAAGTGAGCAGTACACTGCAAAAAATGCTTTTCTAACTTAGATTTTTTTGTCTTGTTTCTAGTCCAAATATCTAAAAACTCTTAAATCAAGAAGAATTTTTTAGACATGCAAAACATACTGTCTTGTTTTAAGATATAATATGCCAAAATTAGGTGAGTTTTCCCTTAAAACAAGCTAAATAATCTGCCAAAGGTGTAAGCAAAATAATCTTATATCAAAAGGAAAAACAAGATTAATTTGCTTACCCCATTGGCAGATTATTTTGCTTGTTTCAAGAAAAAACTCCCTTAATATTGGGATATTATTTCTGAAAATAAGACAATATATTTTGCTTGCCTAGAAAATGTTTCTTGATATAAGAATTTTTAGATATTTGGACTAGAAACAAGACAAAAAAACTAAGTAAGAAAAGCATTTTTTGCAGTGTAGCCTTGTGTTTATATTTTCTTTCTTTCTTTCTTTCTTTCTTTCTTTTTCATTTTTTTGAAAGAAATAGTGTCTCCCATAAGAAATAATATCAGAAATACAGTACCAGTCAAATGTTTAGAATACAGTGCATCTGCAAAGTATTCATAGCGCTTCACTTTTTCCACATTTTTTATGTTAAAGCCATATTCCAAAATGAATTAAATTCATTTATTTCCTCAAAATTCTACACACAATACCCCATAATGACAATGTGACAAATTTATTACAAAAAAATAAAACTGACAAATCACATATACGCAAGTATTCACAGCCTTTGCTGTAAACTCTAAATTGAGCTCATGTACATTCTGTTTCCACTGATCATTCTTGAGATGTTTCAGCAGCTTAATTGGGTTCACCTGTGGTAAATTCAGTTGATTGGACATGATTTGAAAAGGCATACACCTGTCTATATAAGGTCCCAGGGTTTACAGTGCATGCCAAAGCACAAACCAAGCATGAAGACAAAGGAATTGTCTGTAGACCTCCGAGACAGGATGGTCTTGAGGCACAAGGCTGGAGAAGGTTACAGAAAAATTGCTGCTCTTTCTGCTTCCAAAGAGCACAGTGGCCTCCATCATCTATAAGTGGATGTTGTTTGGAACCACCAGGACTCTTCCTAGAGCTGGCCGGCCATCTAAGCTGAGTGATTACTGTACCCAAAAAAAAAAAAAAAAAAATACTAATACTACTTATACTTTCCTTCTTATACTTTACAGACCTGAAACTTGCCTATAGCACTTATTCATTGTTGCTCTTATAGTTGTGTAAATTGCTTCCTTGTCCTCATTTGTAAGTCGCTTTGGAGAAAAGCGTCTGCTAAATGACTAAATGTAAATGATTGGAGGAGAAGGGCCTTAGTCAGGGAGGTGATCAATAACCCGATGGTCACTCAGTCTAAGCTCCAGTGTTCTTCTGGGAAGAGAGGAGAACCTTACAGAAGGACAACCATCTGTGCAGCAATCCACCAATCAGGCCTGCATGCTAGAGTGGCCAGACGGAAGCCAAATTGCTAAAAGGCATCTGAAGGACCCTCAGACCATAGGAAATAAAATTCTCTGGTCTGATGAGATTAAAATGTAACTCTTTGGAGTGAATGGCAGGCGTTACGTTTTGTCAGTTTTATGCACATTAGCGACTCATATTAACCATTTGCACTTTTTCCTCTCTCTCAGGTTCCAGAGTTCCAAATCTGGAAAGATCTACCTCCATCGGGACATCCGGCTCCTTTTTTCCCGTAAATCCATGGAAGTGGACAGTGGTGCTGCCTATGAGCTCAAGTCATTCACAGAGTTACCTGCCGACCCTCCTTTCTCTCCCAGATGCTAATTCAATCTAGTCTATTCAGAGTTTAATCCAGCGTAGGGGCCTTACTAAATCTAAATCTACCATCCGCTTGTATTGGAATCCAAAATAGAGAATCCCACTAACACACGTACACATGCACAGAAGGACTGTTCACTTTAACGTCCCTTTCCTAAAAATACACACCCTGTTGAGTTGTTGGGGTTTCAGTGGTGTTAGGTTTAAAAAAAATGGAATAAAACAGATGGCTGGGAGTTTTATTTAGGCTTATGTCCTGACACTTGGCATGGCGAGAACAAAAAAAAATCTAAATAAATGACTAAACAAGTCCATGGACCATTTTTTTTAAACGAGTCAAGAAACTGAATAACTGCGAGGATGTTTGATGAGCACTGTGTTTTTTCTTTCTCTCACCACAACTGGAAGGAAAGGAGTTTTCGTTGGATGAATTCTTTCTTCGTACTGTTACCAAACCACTTTAATCGGAAGTGTTGCAATAGAAAAAAACAAATATCTTACTAGATTAGTGTTTACATATTTACTTTTTTTTTGGTCATCAGTTATTTAATATTTAAATCGAACTGTCATCTACTGCACATGTGATGCCTGTTGTGCAAAACATTATGATGTAGTGCAAATTCTATGTTTTAATCATACCATGTATTTTTGTCTTTCAAATTCAGATCTTAAATAAAAGAATTATATATTATATCTATAAAATGACCTTTTGTTTGTGTTCTTATTCGTTTTACCTTAGGTGTGTGTGTGTGTGTACTTAGGACACATAATTGTATAATGACGAGGATGTAATTGATTAACCGCAAAGTAATTCAAAATGCTTCAAAATATATATCAAAATACTAACTGGTCACTTTATTAGGTACACCTTACTAGTACTGGGTTGGACCCCCTTTTGCCTTCAGAGCCGCCTTAATCCTTCTTGGCACAGATTCAACAAGGTACTAAAAATATTCCTTAGAGTTTTTGGTCCATATTGATATGATAGCATTAAGCAGTTGCTGCAAATCCCAAAGGTGCTCTATTTGATTGAGATCTGGTGACTGTGGACATGGCACGATATCTTGCTGGAAGTAGCCATCTGACCTGTGGTCTGATAAAGGCATGGACATGGTCAGCAATACTCGGGTAGGCCGTGGTGTTGACATGATGCTCAGTAGGTACCAATGGGACCAAAGTGTGCCAAGAAAATATCTCCCACATCTTTACACCCCCATCAGTCTGAACTGTTGATACAAGGCAGAATGGATCCATGTTTTTATGTTGTTGACACCAAATTCTGCCCCTACCATCTGAATGTAACAGCAGTTTTTCCAATTTTCAGCCACCTCAGGGTTCAAGTGTTGTGTGTTCAGAGATGCTCTCCTGCATACCTCGATTGTAACGAGTGATTATTTGATCTACTGTTGCATTTCTATCAAGCTTGAAATTCAGTCTGGCCGTTCTCCTCTGACCTCTGGCCTCAATAAGTGTCCACAGAACCGCCGCTCACTGGATATTTTCTTTTTCAGATCATTCTCTGTAAACCCTAAAGATGGTTGTGCATGAAAATCCCTGCAGATCGTCAGTTTCTGAAATACTTAGATAAGCCAGTCTTGCACCAACAACCATGCCACGTTCAAAGTCACTTAAATCCCCTTTCTTCCCCATTCTGATGCTCGGTTTGAACTGCAACAGCTTGTCTTGACCATGTCTACATGTCTAAATGCATTGTGTTGCTTCCATGTGATTGGCTGATTAGAGATTTGAGTTAACCAGCAGATGTACCTAATAAAGTGGCCGGTGAATGTACATACAGTACTGTGCAAAAGTTGTAAGCACTATATGAGCTTTGTTGGCCTAAGACTTTGGCACAATATATATTCAATCAATCTCTTTATTCAAAACAAACAGAAAATGCAGGAAATATGTCCTTGGCACCAAAACACAGCTTGGACTACATTGTTTTAACTGTCCTGACATTTTCTGAAATAATGTGCTGTGTAATATCAGGTTTCTTTTAGCACTTTCCAGAGTTCTTCTTTAGGTTTAGAGTGTCATATCTTTCTTCTTCTGTCCAGGTGATATCATACAACCTCTATAATATTCAGGTCTGGACCCTATGGAGGACATTTCATGACTGTCTGCGTTTTATCAGCTTTCCTTTTCTTTAAATAGGATTTCACTGCAATTAGCAGATCTTGATCATGCTGAAAATGAAAGTCGTTACCTCTGAAGTCCTTTCCAAAAGGGATAGCATAATGAATTCAATTTCATCAATTTAGACAATATTGCTAACAACACTAGTAGAGATGCTCAAACCAGGAGAAACTGTCTTTCACAATGTCTAAACCAAAATATTCTAACCCAACTATTAACTCTAACCTAACTCCTATCCTAAAAAAACCCTACATCAACTGAACAATAATATATTTACTGTATAAATCTCAATAAAAAAAAAAGAAATTAAAACTGACTGGTTTTGTGGTAAATATATATCTATCATGACATCAGTAAAAAATCAGCTAATGTTGGCCTAAAACTTTTGCACAGTACTTTATGTATTTATGCATCTAAAACCTTAAACAAGTGTGCGTGTGTGTGTGTACACTTGTTTATTCCACATTGCCTCTACATTATACATTCGCAGTGCTTCACTTTTTCCACATTATTTTAGCTACTGCCTTGAATGAAATGTATTATTTTCCTCAAATGTCTACAAACAAGACCAAATAACGAAAGTCATACAATAATGCTAATAATTCTGCTGGTAGTCCTTGCCAATCTTAAGCCAGTTGTAATAACTTGATTTGGTTCAATTTGGACTTTCCCCAACCATTGCAGAGCCGGTGGATCAGTGTGAGCGCTCCAGCTCGGTCCAACCCTGATCATTTTGTTTGAAATATTTGCCAATTTATTACAAAAAAATGCCATGTACACGTTTTCGCAGCCTTCATTGACACTGCAAACTGAGCTCAGGTGCGTCTGTTTCTACTGATCGTCCTTGAGATGTTTCTACTTGACTGGTGTCCAAACTGTGGTAAATTCAGGGCATCACTTAGCAGGGCACACGCCAGCCTATGTAAGGTTTCACAGTTAACAGTCAACGTCAGAGCACAAACCAAGCTATAAAGTATAGAGTTTTAGATCTGAAATGGGATTGTTTGGAGGCACAGATCTAGCAAAGGGTAACTTACTTAATAATTTCTTCAGCATGAGCACAGTGGCCTCCATCTCATACAGGGGTGCCCAAACTCGGGCTGCGTCCGAAACCGCCTACTACTCAGTAGGTACTGCATTTGAATTTAAGCGTACTACTCGGCCGTTACAGTATGAATGTGAAAAGTATGAATGGAAGGTCATGGTCACGTGACCTACCTGCGTCAGTTGTGTCGCCTCACTTTAATTCATGAACTCTGTCACAGGGCATTATGGGATGCGCACTTCAGAATCTCGCCGGAAGTAGTAAGTCATCCGGGTACTTCTCGCCTACTGATTTTCGAATTCTATGAATCTGGACATACACTACTCAGCTCGCATACTGATTTTAGCGTACTATATAGTATGGAAGTATGCGGTTTCGGACGCAGCCTCTGTGCTGGAGGGCCGGTGTCCTGCAAAGTTTAGTTCCAACCCCAATGAGATACACCTGGGCTACTTAATCAAGCTCTTACAAGGCTTTCTAGAAACATCCTTGCAGGTGTGTTGAGGCAAGTTGGAGCTAAAATCTGCAAGACACCAGCCTTCCAGGACCGAGTTTGGACACCCCTGATACAGTATAAAATGGAAGAAAGTTGAAACCACCAGGACTTTTCCTAGAGTGAGCTGTCTGGTCAATTTGGCCAATCAGAGGAGGAGAAGAGCCTTAATCAGCTTTTCCACTGTACAGTATGGCATGATATGGTTCCGCACAGCTTGGCTTACCTTGATTTGTTTGGCTCTATAGGCATTTCCACTGCAGTTTATCATTGCTTAAAGGGGACCTATTATGCAAAAATCACTTTTATAAGAGGTTTAAGCACAGTTGTATGAGAACAGTGTGTGAATATAGCTCGCCTCTAATGGTAATTTATTTTATTTTGTATTATTACACTTCATAAAAACAGGCTGCAGAAACACTTTGACATTTTCACTTTGCATGTGTCATCAGAGGGGGAAAGCACCCAACCTATTAATCAGGATCTCTCCCTTATTAGCATAAACAGCCCTGAGTGAGAAGAAGCCGTCCATTAGAGTTTTAGCACTATACCTGCTGAAGTTTATTTCGAAAAGAGGGAAATTCGTAGTAGGTCAGGGGTCATCAGCAGGAGTATGTGTCTTAAATGGAATGTTTTTGAAAAATGCAGGCGGGTGTAGCCCAACTAATTTCAATGGAACAGCTTGTTCTAAGGAATTACTCAACTCTAGAATTAGAATTAGAACTTTATTTCCAAAGGTCAACTACCATTGTGTCATTCAAATTTATTAAGACTTTCATGAAATCAGTGGGATTAAGATATTATCATTCAAATTAAGATATCTGAATGAAATCTGAGTAATTTCAGTCACTCTACTTATAGTCTACGCATACCAAACTTCATCAAAAAATGAAGTATGCATGAATCAAGCTATTTTAAATCTAATACAATTAAAAAACCTAAAGTTCAACGTATTAGTACATACATAGACATTGGATAATTAAGTAGTCAGATTTTATTAAAACAACTTGATTTGTGTTTTGGAGATAAACAAATGAGTTTTAAGCATTTTTATTTGGTAACTCTGAAATTCAACACAGGCCTACTGTGAAAACATACCTCCCTATACATTTCTGGAGAGCGTGAATTATGTATCCAGAGCTACGCATGCTGAATGAATGCTACAGGTTGTTATGATGCTGCTGACAGCTTCTGTTTCCTTTCACGCTACCGACTGACCTCTTCTGACCGCCTCTGTCTTTACAGCTTTTCCACTGTTACCAGTTTGCCCAGTATGTCGGAGGACTTGCAGAGAGGAGTTGATGGCAATGAAGGGGTTTGAGTCTAGCAAAGAACCAGGAAGCAGGTAAAACAAAAGGCAAAAAATAAAATAAACAAGTAAATAACAGGGTTAACGTTGTAAGATCTAAAAACATGGTAAAAATTAGGTGGCTGCGAGGGCTTTTCTTGTTCTGGATTGCTCTTGTAAACAATCAAAAAGCTTTTGTCAGTTGGGTTTAGGAAAGTGGGTGGACGAGTCAATCAGTGCTTTTAAAAACACTATCCGTTGGGTTTAGAGAAGAGGGTGGGTGAGGCAATCGCTCGGACAGCGGCCTTTGGTAGATTTACACGAGAAGAGCAGGCATGAATGGCACTCGCGAGAGAAATTTGAAATCTGACAAAGCATACACAGCAGCAAAAAAACGTAGCTCTTGGAACATATTTCACGCTGTCCAGAAATGTATACAGTGGTACGTATCAATAATGAGCCTGGGTTTTAAAATTCATTATATTTTTGTTTAAAAAAGAGCATTGTCATTGTATTTGTCCAAAACTCGTGATGCTACAGAAATCATCACTCAAATGTGTTTCAAGGTGTCAGGAGTAATTATAATCTGTGTTCTGAAAGCATGAA